CTCTTCAACTTCTGGTTGATTACTAGACCACTCTCTCAAATTCATAGATGCCTTACTCAGTATTAATTTCGCTACCTGATACATTCTCACAGCTTGTTCCTGATCTTCCGTACCCAACATGATGTTATCTACATATGTATTTCTTCTCAACTGAGCCACTATTTCTTTTACTTCTTCATCATTCGTCCAACCGTTGTCTTTTACAACCTTATCCAGATGGTATCTTAATGTTGCACCCAATAGAAACGGACTCGATATCACTCCAAATGCTACTCTCGTAAATCGATATGTCTCCAAATTGGTATCAGTCACACCCTTCTCCAGCTGTTTCAACCACAAGAATCGAGTCACATCTCTCTGACTAGGCTCCAATTCTAACTGTAAGAACGCTTTCTCTATGTCTGCCAACATAACAATCGATGGAATTCTGAATCTCAATAATATACCACACAGATCTGGAAGAAGCACTGGTCCTGAATATAAACACTCGTTCAGACTCTTATCACCTTTCTTCGCTTTAGCTGAAGCATCGAAGACAATTCTGAGTTTGGTGGTAGCTTTTCCTGGAGTGATAACCGGTTGGTGAGGGAAGTAATGAATAGGTCCGGTTATTAATGCCCCTTTCCGGACTTTCTCAATTATGCCTAGACGTTCTTGTTCTTGCAAATTGTCTTCATACATCCTCATAAGAGTTGGTTCAGACTTCAGTCTTCTCATTAACGATTTCAAACGACCTAAGCTCAGTCCGTAATTGGTGTTTGCTGGAGGATTCCCTGATTTCCAGGGCCAACTTACTTGATACCTTCCGTTTACGAACCTTACCGTACGATCAAACAGTTCTAGTGCCCTATCGTTATCCTCATCTACCGGTGCATCATTAACTCCTAGACTCTCAAGCTGCCAAAACCTTTCGATTTCGTTCCATTCTACCGTGGGGTTCCTCTCGGCACTCGTGAAGACGTCCCAGCCACTTGCAAGCTTACCACCAATCATAGGGCCTACTTTAGTCCAAATCTGGTATAAATTATCATTCAACCTCTCCACTGGTACCTCCATGGTTAATTCCCAATAGAGATCCGCTCCAATCAATAGTTCCGGGGTGACAATAATTTCTCCCCCATCTTCGACAGTTTCCTGCCCAACCTTGCTAGGACGGCAAACGAGTTCTTTGACTATTTGTGGGACAGCACTGACTTCTATGATTTGAGTATCTCCAGTTCTGAGAACTAACCCCACGTGAACTGTTTTCGATTCGACTCGCCTCGTTTCTCTTGATGCGAAAGTGTTCAACCATATTACTCCAGTAGTCTTACTTGTCAACTTTAATTGGTCAGCCATATGAGATGTGATGAATGGCCGTTGTGATCCGCTATCGAATGGGGCATAAGTCACTTTAATTTCCGGGTTAGCTTCATCGGGGTTAAATAGTTTCACCTGAACTGTTGGTAGGTATACCTTACTATGCACCATCGTCATCTCTGACTCAGATGTAACGTTCTCGTTCACATACGTCATAAGATGTTGTTCTGGAATGACTTCTCTTTCATGAGGTCTCACCACGCTGTTGTTATAAGATGTATTTCTCGCGTCAGTAGATGTTTCTATGTTACGTACTACTCCCTGTTCAACTCTCATAGCTCTCTGGTCTTGTTGGTCGTTTCCTACATTATCTTCCTATCTTACTACATTAGTGTCTCTCGGCAGTACCGTATTATTGTTTCTTAGTCTTACCACACTGTTGTCTCTCATTCTTACTACATGACTGTCTCTTGTCCTCACCACACTGTTGTCTCTCGTCATTCGTCTTTGCATTCTCTCTCTTTCTTGTTCTCTCGTTAAGCCCAAGGCACTATTGTGTACGCTATTACAGAAGGAGCATCGTCTTTGGCTAGTACATTCATGACTCCTATGATCTTTTCCAAAACATCTGCAGCATCGGCCTTGTCTCTGAATAATATCTCTTCTGTCATTTACTCTGCGCACTGTTGTACATTCTCTTGCCGCATGTCCTATTCTTTCGCAAAAGATATACTCTCTTTGTTCATTATGACTTCTCACTGGCTCTTTTACTACTACGTGTGTTCTAACGATCCTCTCCTCTTCTGTATATCCAGTCACTCTCTCTCTTAAATTCATGTATCTTTTTAAGTTTTAACTTATTTTCTCTAGATTATACTCATCGTCTTCTTCAGCTCCAAGTACTTGAGAGATTACTTTGGATGGAAGCTTTTGGATAACACACATGGCTAGAGAAGGATTTTCTAATGACTCTCCGATGGATTTGAATTGTCTACATGCCTTTGAGAGTGTATCATCGAAATGTTTGAGTTCGTTTAATCTTTCCGAACACTTAGGTAGGGCTTGTAACAAATGGTGGACACGTTTCCGAATGACTCTCGAGTTTCCAAAATTTTCTACTAGTATACTCTTAGCTTCGACATAATTCTCGGCCGTAATGGGCAGGCTCTCTAACACGGTTTTTGCATTCCCTTCTAAGCAGTTTTTTAGATGCATAAACTTGACCACGGCTGGTATATTTTGTTTATCTATGAAGGATTCGAATATTTCCCAAAATCCTTGCCACTCTAGAGGATCTCCTCTAAATTCTGGGAGTTTTGTTTGGGGTAACTCACTTTTATAAGGCTTCTCATCATTCTCTTCTTTTATGACGGATTTTCCAAAGGTTACTTTTGCTCTCTGTAACTCTTCCATCCTACACTTTAGATTCTGAATTGCATCTTTCGCGTCAGCCACTATTTCCAAAAACCCACCTTCTTCCTCGCATGCCGCTTCATACCCTCTTCGCTCTTCCTCTTGATTTCTCTTGCTTACTATGCTGACCCATTTTTCTTGTGACTCAGTAATCGTATCTACATACCCCTCTAAGAATCGAATATCTCTTTTTACCATACACCAGCATCTTTCTATTTCTTCCTCATCATTAACTTCAATCCCATATTTTGGCAGATCAGTCAGATATTGTTTCAACTTTCTAACTGCGATCTCAAGGCTTTTCTCCACTCCGACAAGCGACATTGTACCCTATATTTTGCCTTTCTGCTCCCGGCTCGTGGCACCATGTACCGACTATCAGTGCAATAAGGAGTGGGGGGAGGGAGGCTTTGACTGATAGAGGGTGGATTGAATCTGTAAAGGTGGAACTGTCCCCACTAGTTGGTAATTGACAAAA